AAGCGTCTGCCTTCGGCTCAGGTCATGGTCCCAGGGTCCTGGGATCGAGCCCCACATCGGGCTCCCTGCTCCGCGGGAGGCCTGCTTCTCCCTCTCCCACTCCCTCTGCTTGTGTTCCCTCTCTCGCTCTATCTCTCTCTGTCAAATAAATAAATAAAATCTTTAAAAAAAAAAAGAATTCAAAGTATGTATTCTATAGTTTTTTACTTGCTCATATAACATCATCATGACTGAAAAAAGCAACTAAAAGAGCATGTTCCCATAATATATCTTAATAAGAAATGATACTTTGAATAGAATATGTAAATATCACAGTTGTCAGGTCTTTGATTAGCCTAAGCAACTTTTTCCTTACCCTTCTCCAACAAGAGAGAATAGTTTCCTTCTTTTTGCAACTAAATGATCAAACTTGGTTCTTTTACGTTTTTCATCGCCTTCATTCTCATCTGAATCTTCTATCAGTGTTTTTTTCTGATCTCAGAACTAGTCACACTAGGTCATCACTGGCCTGCATTCAGTTCTGGGACACACTTATTAAGGGAGATAGACACATTGGAGAAGACAGTGACTGGACTTGAAGCCATGTAATTTAAGAAAAGGTTGAAAGAAATGAGGATTTTAATCTGGGAAAAATTAAGAGGAAGAAGTGGTCCAGGGGAGCTGCCTTTGCATTTTTGAAGAGGTGTTATGTTCAAGAACGACTAAGGGTGTTCAGTACGGCCTCAAGGGACAGAATTAGAACCAGACATATTTTGGTGACAAATTTTGGAGCTGCCTCCTACAGTGAGTTTTCTAGCTCTGCAAGTACACACACATAGTCTGTAGACTGCCTCTCACTGTGTGAGAGACAGGATTCAAGTGATGTTTGCAGAGTTACTGTCATTGAGACAATTTTATACTTAACTGTTAGATTTCTATGTATAATATTCCTTCCTTTTCTTCATTGGGTGACATCTTAATTCTCTCAGTATTTTCTTCATGTGTGAAACACGTTTATTGTTGTTAAAAATTAAAGTCATTTCTAACACTTTTATTAAGTTGGATGATTGGAAAGAAGTTTCTTCCATTATCTTCCTCCATAGACTGAAATCATGCCTTTATTATGAAACTGCAGCCAGTAGGAACACTGACCTCATGATAATTGAGGGAATAAAGCATTTTATGATCTCATTAGAACCTTGAGGTGGATGTGTGCTGTGCGTGCGCACTAGCTTGTTTACAATTTTCCTTGTAGAATATTCCATATCTTTTAGATTGTGCAGATTTTGGTTTAGAGAGATTTGATTATACTGATAATCACATTTTTCTTTCGTGCAACATTAAAAAATTACTTAGAGAGTCTTCAAGAATTTCATTATAATACCCATATTGTAAATATGCTAAGGAAAAAGAAACTTTTTCGTTTTGAGTTCTTAATTTTAAAAACTTTTATTTGTTCAGGTCATAATTCACTCTTCATGACCAAAATTTCTAAGCCAGGGAATTACGTGAAAGAAATGTTTTTGTAAATTCATTTTAGAAAATAACAAGAGGGTGTTCAATTAAGGCTGCTTTCTCTGAAAATGCAGATTTAGAGTTCATTAGACTATTTACTTCTTGAGATTAAAAGTTTATATGTTGTATGAGAAGGTGGACTTCTTTTTTCCTGCAATTTTTCCAATACAGACTGAGATGAAAAGTTTTTAGGAAATTTGCAAGTGAATTTAGATTCTACAGGAATGTTAAATCAGCAAATTTGGAAACAGATTACCACCATGAATTCAGACTTCTAAACAAAGGGGTTAAGTTTGTTGAGACATTCATTCGCTTTCCTTTGCCATCTTTCACATACAAAAACTGTTAGAAATTTTCAATAAAATAATTTGATTTGGCCAACATGATTGTTGACACCAAGACTGGGGGAATATCAGGCAAAATTCAAGTAATTGTGTGAATGTGAACACCATATTTGAGAGATATTTTCCTCCTTTAGAACTCCATAGCCATGGCCAGTGGCCTGTAAAACATTGAATGCATCTCAACAAAAAACACTCATTACAATTCATCTTTCAGGACTTTTATAGTTTTAAAAACTCTTGATATTTCATGTGAAGATTAAACGGTGCTGTATGGGCATAGGGTATAGGAGGTGCTTCTCAATGATTCTTCCAGCTTTAAATTTATATGGTCTAAAGAATTGGATGTTAGGTTTTTCTTTTTACTCTCTTACAAGGACATAACTGATTAGAATTGAGATGTTCTATTGTTTTTGAATATCTAAGAAATACATATTTTTTCTTCTTATGCGAGCAATTAAAAAAAAAAATCAAACCACTCAGGTTTCCAAAAAGCAGCTTATATTTATTTTCTGTTACTGTTTCGCTTTTTGGACTAACGGGCTAAGACCGAGGAGTTGAGTTCTACACGCTGGCCTCTCTGCGCTCCTTCGAAGTCGGCTGGGCCGCTCTTCACTTGTGCGCCCCCTTTCTCCCAAAGGCGGGCGCAAATCCCTTTCTGTTTCTGGAGAAACCGCTCAGAGCGCATGCTCTTCTGATGATGGAGCCATAGCGCCATTTTCATATCCAAGGGACTCTCCTGTAATTAGGCGCGTCCTCGGGCACCCAGTATCAAAGTTGTTCAAACAATGTGAGGAGCTTCACAGAAACAAGACAAGGGCTTTTTTGAGACGACCCACTCCCTGCAGCGCTTCAGCTAAGACTACGTAAAGAGATTCTTTTGTGTTAATTTCCCCGTGTTCAAGTGGTCCTCTCCGGTGTCGCTGGCCTCGCTCCCTCGCCCCCCCTCCTGGGCCAGAGCAATATAGAGGTTAGGCATTTGTGATGATTTTGCGCCCACAGTGGTGGCCCCACTGAGAGGACGTGGGGGACCGCATGGAAAGGTTTTCCCCGTGAGAACAAAGCACAAGTTATATCAAAGTCCAGTATGTGTAGAGGAAACCGGTACATGTTCTTTTGAGCGAGGAGGTAGCGCTTTTTAAAATTTTATTTATTTATTTTTTTAATAAAGATTGAGATCCGTCAGTGGTGGGGGGATGCGGAGCGCTTGAAAGATCTGCTATAGGAGGCAGGGCGCGGAGATCTGAAGTCTTTTAAGTGTGTGTGTGTGCGCGCCCGCGCGCGCGCGCAAGAGTTTAGGAGAACGTGGGTGAGGGGGTGAAAGAGAGACAGAGAAGGAAAATCTAGAGGGGGAGACGACTTAGTGGGCGCATCCTTGCCTAGGAAGCCGCAATAGCCCCTTTCCCGACATCCACTCGCTACTCCACCGTTTCATTCATAAGTTTCTGGTCTGGAAGCCCCGCCCGTCTCCCCTGGGCCGAGGGCCCCGTTTCCTGTACAGCAATTGGTGGACGGCAACAAAGCCTTAGCAACTGGCTCCTAGTGACCCGCGGGGCGCCTGGTAACTGGGGCGCGGGGCCGACACCGAGAAAGGAGCGGGGCTGTCCCTTTAAGGGATGGCCGCGGAGCCGTGAAAGCGGAGGGGGCTGAGGGAGGGCGGGGAGGAAGGTCTGAGGGCGGACCTAGGGGGGAGGAGGAGGAAGAGTTGCTGCTGAAAGGAGGTGGCGAAGGAGGAGCCGGAGCAGCTGCTGCCAGCCCGCGGGCACCGGAGTTCTGCCCGCTGCCGCACGAGTAGCCACGGGCGCGATCGGGTCCAGACGTCTCCTCCTCCATGATCACTTTGGGAGCGGGGGGAAGACTTTGCCCGGCCGTGAGAGCTGGTCTGCGTTTCCCTGGCGCGGCGGCGGCGGAGCAGCGGCAGCAGCCGGGTCCGAATCGGAGCGGCCACAGCCTGGGGCGTGTGCGCCCCGCGCGGAGCGGGCTCGGGTTCCCCACGGAATGTCCCCGGGGCGCCCCGCGCGCTGACCCCCCAGCCGCCTCCGCCTTCGGCGCCTGCTGCCCGTCTCGGGCGGGTTCGGTGTTCGGGACTGCAAGCTTCCCGGCTCCTGGGCAGTGGGGAAGCCCCCGGGGGCGGGTGACCTCAGCTGGCCACGACCCAGCCCTCCCCCGTGCGTATCTCGCTTAAGATGGCAGCGGAGTCAGGGGAACTAATCGGGGCTTGCGAGTTCATGAAAGGTGAGGAGCAGCCGCCCCGCATCCTCCAACCCTCCCTCGCGCCCAACTCTTCACTTCTAACCCCTACGTCCCAGCCGCTGCCTCCGGCTTCTCCAGGGGCCTCCGGTGTCCTGCAGCCGCTGCGGGCGCTCTCGTCCCCTCTCCGTACTATCCTCTCCCCGAGGACCCCCTGCTTCCGGCTTCTCTGTCTTTCTTGCGTCCCTGGTTCCCTCTGCAGCTCCCTCGGATGGCCTCCCCGCCCGGTAATGGGACAGCGCCGGGCTCGGTCCGGCTTCTGCACGCAGCATCTGGTGGGGATCCTGCTCCGGTTGATTTTTTCGGTCTCCTTTATCCCGCTCTTGCTCGCCTCGGTTTTCGGGACACCCCCCCAGGCACACCTCCCTGTCTCTTCCTCCCTTCCTCTTCTTGAAGTCTTCGGAGCTGCAGGCTCGCCTCTCTTCCCCTTCCGCAGCTGCTGAGGTCTGGAGATTTGTGAGCCAAACTTGCATCTCCAGTTCTACGGGTACCCCTAGCTTCTGTCTGCTCCCGCTGGCCTGAAACAGGGAAGATTATGGGAACTCTGCTCCCCAGCTGAGTGTCTCAGTCGGTCCCCTTCTCGCCTCTCCGTTGTGCTCTTGGGTCTCTGGGTTTCTGGGAGAGATCAGGTTTCTGCAAGAATTCCACGTGTTAATGGGGTCTTTAAATAATGGGTAGCAGTTATTATTTTGATCTTTCGTGTATTATCACCACTCCCCACGTTCAGCTTCCCTCCTTCTCATATGTTTTCTCCCGTCTTTTAAACTTGTCTTTCAGATCGGTTATATTTTGCTACTTTAAGGAATAGACCAAAAAGCACAGTAAATACCCACTATTTCTCCATCGATGAGGAGCTGGTCTATGAAAAGTAAGTTTCTATTTTTTTTTTTTTTCTCTTAACTTTTTAGCCTGTTGGCTCTTTGGTGAAGGAACCCTATGCACCTTTATGGCAGTTTTATTCAACACCCCCCCCCCCCCCCCCCCCCCCCCCCCCGTGGTGCAAGTAACACCACCATTTTTTGAAGACTCAGATGCTTGGGGAGAGGTGCAGGCGAAGTTAACATAATGTGAACCTGCCAACAGCCCAGTCATTTTAGACCTTTGTCTCTGTGAGCTCTTCCTGCCACCACCACAATTGCAACTGTAGATACCTAACACTCCCCAGAGTAGGACCAGGGAGACTCTGTCCTTGCTAGCGCTGTAATTGGCCTGTGAATCAGCCCCGGAGTATTTATGGAGCACCCACAGAGTACAGGGAAGTGTGTGTATTACAGGTGCTTCAGCTTTCCAGTTCACAAGGCTTCTGTTGTCTCGCAGGATGTTTTTGTTTCTGCAGCTCGTTTTTGGAAAGTGGGAATGTTTAGCTGAAGGTAGCTGTACCCAAGTCATATCTATGAGTAAGGTTTTACCTGTGTGAGAAATTATCGGATTATTTTCTTTGGGTGCCCCAAGCTTCCGAGTATTACTTTCTTTGTCTTTGAGGAAGTGGTATAGGAGTGCTGATTTACTTTCTTTGGTTACTTTGCTTCTGTGGGATTAGGATTTGAGAGTGTAAAAAAAAGAATAGGAAACTGTTATCTGTGAAAGGCAATTAATTTACAGGAAAAGGATATCTTAATACTTTAAGGGCAATAAAAATTTAATTAAAGGGAGATAAACCTCTACTCAATAAAAGCAACAAATAATAAGGAATAGGAAGGCTGAATTGACATGATTATGTTCTCATTAAAAGAGCTGGTGTTGGGGCACCTGGGTGACTCAGTCGTTAAGCGTCTGCCTTCGGCTCAGGTCATGATCCCAGGGTCCTGGGATCGAGCCCTGCATCATCGGGCTCCCTGCTCAGCGGGAAGCCGGCTTCTCCCTCTCCCACTCCCCCTGCTTGTGTTCCTGCTCTCACTATCTCTCTCTCTGTCAAATAAATAAATAAAATCTTAAAAAAAGATAAAAGTGCTGGTGTTTCAGAGTAGTCCAGTATATTTTAACTTAAACATTTAATTTGACTTTCTTGTTGTTTAACCAAACAGGCAATTGAACAAACATAGTTAAATGAACCATAGTGACTCTAGTAAGCTTCCTAGAACAAGTCCCCTTAAAAGGGATTTTGGTTAAAAGGGATTTTGGCCGATCTGCCTAAGGATGTGTGGGTACCACCAAGGCATTTGAAGAGTGAGAGCATTCTCGACTTTTAAGAGCGTCATCTTTTATTTGAGGGCAAACCGTCTTTAACTGTCACTTCATCATAGGGATTCTTGAGACTGATGTCTTCAGGATGTTGCTCTTGGTGGTGCTGGAGGCAGGATGCTTCTTGAATGGCTGAAGTCAAAGTGGGAATGAAAGAGTCCTTTGCGGCTGCAATGAGGTCTAAATCCCTGGTGTCAGATTACAGCCCTGCCCCTAGACCCAATGGAGGACTGCTCTGCCTGCTCCCTGACCCGGATACCTGGATGATGTCACTGCTAGCTCTGTTTAGTGACCGAGCACTCTATTGTTGGCAATGTGCATTGTTGTGGCTTTCTTTTTGTGAGGTTAGGGTTCGGGGACCTCTTGTGCGTCTGAGGGTAGGGACTGTGGATGTGTCATTATGTTCCATTCTGCAGTGACTGACATGCCAGAGGCTGTTAATATATCACGGAACAAGCTTCCGTCATTGAGGTCTGAGTTGCTTCTTTAGGGATGGCTCAATGGTAGATCTAGCAGGAAATTACATTTAGCCACTCAACGCAGTTGCTCGATGGTTTTTTGATTGTAGCATTGATAGGTGAGGGACAGTTTTTGAGTATTTTAATGTTGCTATTTTAGGATAGGGCGACAAATCCCATTCCTCTTATATTTACTCTACTGTATTTCTGGTGTCTTGTAAAGAAAGACTCGCTGGAGAGACCATCCCATTTCTGTTGTGAGTTTTGACGTCATCTGAAACTGTGAAGAGGACCCCCGTCTGGGCAGAGCGTACCCTTCTCTTGGTTTGGACTTGCCCAGCTACCGTGTCACAGCAATGGCTGTGCTTCTAATTAGCCATGAGTCCATCTTTTTTATAACCCCAACATACTACTCATGGCTAGATGCTGGAGAGAATACGGTGACGATGAATGCACATATGACCTTCGAGGAGCCACAAGCCTGTAGGGAGAATAACAGCAGTGCAGTGAGAGGTACAGAAAGAGAACTGTCTTCAGGTTAGCATAGCCCCTGTGCTAAGAGGAGTTCCTAGGCAGGTGGGAGCACGTTTGGTTGAAGTGTTTAGAAAAGGGCTTCATGGAGTTACAATTGGTTTGAAGGATGGACAGAGTTTTATCAGGCAGAGATGTGAGAGGAGAGATCCCAGAAGCAAGAACACAAGGATGAGGAAGGAGGTTCCGGAGTGGGTTCAGGGACTAGTAAGTCCCCCAATTTGCCTGGTATGTATTCAGGTCCCAAGGGGATGTGCAATATGAAGTTGAAAGGTCAGTGGGGTGCAGACTGAATGCCAGGGTGGGGATCCACCGTTTCATCGGACGTCAATGGACTCCTGCGGGTTTTGGGGCAGTCCGTGGTATGACTGGATCTGGGCTAATGGCAAATAATGGCAAACATTTATTGAGTGTTTAAATGCATGCTAGGTGCTGTTCTAGGTGCCCCACAACTATTAATCATGAATTCATTTTATTTTCACAACAATTCCACGAGGCTGGTACTATTATCATCCTTAGTGTACAGAGATCATGACAGTTAGGGTACAGAGAGGTTAGGCAACTTGCCCAAGGTCCCAGAATGAAGATGTAGCAGAGCTGGAGTTTGAAACTGGGCCCTCTGGGTCTGGAGTATGTAGATCTCCTCTCAGAAAGTTAATACGATAGAATCATTTAAGATGGGTTAGGGTGGAAGTAGAAGCCCACTTAGAAAAATTCTGGAACGCTCAAGGGGAAGATAAGTGCCTAGGTTAGGATTGGTGGCAATGGTGGTGGACAGAAGAGATCTGAATCCATGTGACTGGCAGCAGATCAGGTGGGTGGGTTGGGGGCTGCTGAGGAAGAAGAGGAGGGAAAGAAGTCCTTAACACAGCCTGGGTCCCAGTGAGCCTGCTGGGGCCATTCGCTGAGCAAGAAGTAGGGTGGAGGAATTGGCATTAGTGGGGACGTCAGGCATTCCATTTTGATCAGGTTGAATTTAAGGATTTTAAGGGACATCACATAGACTTGAAGTTCTTAAATTTGGGGAGTTTTCCCCAAAGGGTTGATAAAGCTGTGAGAGTGATGTGATTTGGGGGAAGAAAGAGAAGATATCAAAGTGTGTATTTCTTTTTTTTTTTTTTAAAGATTTTATTTATTTATTTTGACAGAGAGAGACACAGCGAGAGAGGGAACACAAGCAGGGGGAGTGGGAGAGGGAGAAGCAGGCTTCCCGCGGAGCAGGGAGCCTGATGCGGGGCTCGATCCCAGGACCCTGGGATCATGACCTGAGCCGAAGGCAGACGCTTAACGACTGAGCCACCCAGGTGCCCCCAAAGTGTGTATTTCACAGGCAGGGCTAGGAAGAGAGGAGCAAGGGGAGGAGGAGGAAATAAACAGAGAAGGAGGTGGACAAACGGCAGAGGGAGAGAAGAAAGGGAGGAAGGACAGAGGTCCGGGAATTCATCTTGTCAGCGCTACTTCTTTAGGAAGTGTAGGATGAGAGATTCTGCAAAGCCCCTGGAAACATGTATAGTAACCTGTGTTCTATCTGTGGAGGATGTCTTGTGGGGAGAAAAATGTTGACTGTCAAATCATACTGTACACCTCTCCAAGGAAAGGAGTGTGTTTACACACATTATCACACAGGTCTTGTACGGCCCTGTAACTGTGTACTACTCACTGAATGTATAAATGAAATGCTGCCTCTCTGGCTAAATTATCACCTTGGAAATGCAACTGTTATTTTTGAATCAGGAAATAGACTCTTTAACTATTAGGCTGTGGGTACTCTGGACGCAGCTGTGTTTTGTGCAGATGTTTAGTTAGTTCTAAGCGGATGATAGCGCTCCATGACTGAAATGGCAACCTTCTGAGAAGCCGGTGGAGAAAATTTAACAAAGTGGCCCCATGAGGTGAGGCTATTTATTAGAAATGAAAGTCTGAATTTTCTGTTTGATTTTAAAACAGAATTTATCACATTAATATAAAGGCCTGAGGAGTTTTAGTAAAATAAAATGTGGTTGATAAGAAAGCCATACATTTATCCTCGGGTTATAATTTCACAGATCAGAATTAAAATCAGAGTATAGGCTAACACACCCGTGGGACAGAAATAGCCCCATAAAAAGGGAGCTTTTCAAAGATTTATCTGTATTTGATTAAGCTACAAATAACATGCAACTCTCCAGAAAGGCTAATTCTTTGGTTTTGGAATTGGGCCCTGTAATCCAAATAGAGGCTTACTTTTTATAACTTGGCTCAAATATTTTTGGCTCAAAAGTTAGCAAGATGAAATATGTTAATTGTTATAACCTTTGTGTGCCCCTCCTGACTATGATGATGGGATAGGGTCGGATGTTAATGCATGGAAAGCCAGTTTGCTGTGAGGGATAGTGTAGAGGGTCTTCATTTTCCGCCTTGTCCATTTTCATTTCTCCTCTCATTTTGTTTGCAAAGGAAAGGTATTGAGAATGCAGGAGAGAACTTTTCGTGGACATACTCTGGGGACTGAATATTAAGCAGTTTCTGAAGTGACTCGAAGCATTTCACCAAATGTTTTAGCATGGAAGAATGAGCAGCCTCTAGTGAGGACTAATTAGCTAAATTGAAGATTTAAATAATTTAAAATCTTCAATTTTCACTTAAACTTTATTAAAGCACCCTGCTATTAATGCAACCGGGGATTCTTGAGTAAATAATATATAGAAGACTGATTTCT